CTTGGGGGCCTGGGTTCAGTCCCCGGCACCGGGGGAAAAAAACAGAAGAAAATGTGCACATATGAACACAAGGCTCTGTGAGAGAAGGGGCCTTTTCAAGGCATGAATTCTGAGAGTAAATTTTCAAGGACATTTTTTCACAAGTCTTAAAAACTCTGTTGAATTTCAGCCATTGTAATAAGAACAATTAAAATATAATAAAATGTTTCCTGAGCAAAATGGGGTGTGTGTGTCTGTGTAGAATGAAGTTTCAAAGAAGCTTAAGCATCTAGTCACGGCCTATTTACGAATAAGTCTGTTTATTTAAAAATATATATTTGTATGGCTTACAGATCTGCTCTGGTATTTCTGTTATACTTTCCCTYTGGAGCCACTGACAGCACATTTCACTTTTCCAGATGTTTTACCTGTCATTCTACCAAAGCAACAAGACCACGTTTAAAATGTAAAATGTGATAGCAATGATAGCTGGCAATTATTCCCCAGGTTGACTCAGAAGTCACTCTAACAAAAACACACATTAAATAGTATTGTATGAACGGCGCTAGCGAGGCCGACTGCATTTACTACGGTTGGCTTTGTTTGTATCACAGGTTGGTTACAAAAGACCTCTCAGAAGCAACTTATGTTAAGAAGTTACTGCACTCACGCTGCAAGGATAAGYGCTTCATTTCTGAAGGAAACACTCTGATTTTGCATGTTGAAATAATTGAGGAAGAGAGAAAATTATTTTACATTGAGGTCACCATTCAGAAAAGTTTTTTTTCCAAATATATAGGCATCATATGCAAAGCAGTCCATAGTGAAGTTCTAATATGCTCTCCCATTTATGCTAATGGAGCTCTCAATTTATGAATTGGTTATATTCTTGAGGACTCTTTTAGATACTTCTAGAAAAAAATACAGGATTACTGATTAATTATTAACTACTACTAGAGTTATTCAGAGGTAAAAGGAAATACAATCATAAATGATTATTTTCGTTTTTTTCAAAGAATTTTGAAAATCTCTGTTTTCATTTTCATTGATTGCCAGCCCAATCTGATCTAATAAGGCTTCCTAGTCAGATACGTGGAAACACACACACACACACACACATACACACACACACACACACACACACACACACACACGCATGCATGCATGCACATGCGAGTGAACGCAGTACATAGGTGAAGAGAAACTTGGGAGCCTCCCAGGGATCCTTGCAACACTTTATGACAATCAAATGTAATAATCAAGTTTTGTGAGACTCAATGAAAAATCCATTTCTTGGCCCCAGTTACCACACGGATGGTCATTTGTTTCATAGCCATTTTCATTTGATCTGAATTCCACTCTATTTAAACTGTCTACAGAGTCAGGAAATAAACACTTTGTCCCTAGGTGGCTCTCCTTCTTGTGTCAAGAAGAAAGAAAAATTACTTTCTAGAAAATAAGTTATAGGCTTTATTGTGATGTCAGAATCGACCAATTTTCTCCTTTGCTTTCTTTCTTTTGGTAACATAGTGTAGTTATATAAAAAATAATTTCTTTTTGACTAAACCAGTTGCTATCCAGTAACCTAGATATGGCTCATAGTTTAGTTCTTTTTAAAACTTATTTGTTATGATGCTACAAATAATTTCCTATGTCCCTAATTTTTTCTCAAACATGTGGGTTTTAAAGCCATTCAAATCACATTTTGTTTTGGTTGTTTTTTTTTTCCTTATGAAAACAGATGATCAGCAAGGATTAACTGAGGTTGTAGAATCCTTAATAGCTTTCATGAGATTTAGATAATTTTGTGAATTCTCACTGCACACTTTTATACACACATAAGCACTCTGAAGGCAAAGCTAAATGTGGTTTCCTCTCAGGATCACTATGCCTTTTATTACAGGCATACGGGAGGAAGGAAGAAAGGAAGGAAGGAAGAAAATGGATTTTTGCCTCATTTGAAGTTAACAATAGATTTTAAAAGCACAAGTGTTAGATGATTATTTAGTGGCTGCTGGATTTTAAAAACTTAATTTTTGTTGCTTTCTTATTTTGGTCAGTGTCACAAATGATCAAGTGRTCATATACACAGTGAACATGATTTCACTTGTCTTCATAACTGACTGACCACTACAAGTGAAATGAGCCAAAGGAGGGGCTATGAGGTACCTTTTCTGTTCATTTCACAAATTTAAAAACCTTGAAGTCTAAAATATTTTAAAAATCCCCAAATCTTTCTTTCAAATAAAGTAATTCCTTGCTTTGGTGTATTATATTTATTCTCAAACACAGAACTTAGCATGTGAAAATAAATAGGCTTATGTTACTTGCAGGTAAATATTTACACTGCACAAAGAGGACACTCAATTCTTTTACACATTTGTGAAGGTGACATAAGTACATGATTCAATATTGTGCTGTTTCTTAAATCATAATCACCTGTTGACACACGATGTAGCTGGACAGTTTGGTAAGAACAAGAATTCTGGGAATGTGGCTTCTTCTTAAATAAAACCCCCACCAGTGCTGGAGTGAATGCCACATGAATAGGAGGGAGGTGACAGAGGGTATAAAATAAATAAAAGAAGTGAAATAGGGCTGGGGCTGTAGCTCAATAATAAAGCACTCACCTAGCATGTGTGAGGCACTGGGTTCAATTCTCAGCACCATATATGAATAAATAAAATAAAGGTCCATTGACAACTAAAAAATATTTTWAAAAAATGAAATAAAAGACTTTGGTATACAAGTTCTGGTTCTACTTCTCAAAAGACTATGTTTTCAGGAATAACCCAAATAATAAAGAAAAGAAGCTGGTTAGTTTTTTTTCATTTTTCCAAAGTCCTAAATAAATTGTGTCATGTGGGATAGCAACTAGAAACAAAACCAAAACTACCACTATGCAAAGACTCAGTCTGGTTACACCACTGATGAAAAGTACCTGGGAATCTTGGCAGATATCAACATTCTAGCTTGTCTACTGAAAAACACTGTCACACACACACGCAGGTGGACTTACGAGCTTTGGCTCAGACAGAGCCAGGTGATGTCCATTGGGCATTTTATTCCTGTGAGTTCTCTACAAACATCCTGAGAGGAGATAAGTCTAGATTGACTGAGTCTGCCTACAAAGAGAAGCCCAAGTAGATTTCACCAGAGTAATTTTCTTCTGCAGGCTTCTGAGCCATCGCATTAGTGCCATGTCCCTACAGAAAGCCCAGTTGAAGGTCGCAGAAGTCGTTTGTGCTTCACCCTCTCTAAATGACTTGCAAATTTATTCAAACACAATATGAGGGGATGCTTTATTTGTTGAAATAACTGTCTGCAGTATTCTGCACTAAAGGGTGAGGTACATCAAGCAGAAACATGGATAGAAATACATTGGTTTAGAAACCCATAAATCCTTATTTGAATCTGCCAACCTGAAAGCCACGAAGAGCTTGAATAAACTATTTACCCTAAATGCTACATCTGATTAAGCCATACCATTAAATGACAGCTGAACTTTAACATTAATATGATATTATTTAAATAACCACATGATTTTTTTACACTAAAAATGATGAATGATTTCTGGACAGCTCAATTGACATAAAGCAGGAGGACTCTTTAATGAGATTTGACAAAATGGAGACATATGCAGAATATTCGTTACAGCTCACATCGCAGGGGCCCCTCCCAGGAAAGCGGTGAAGGTTTTTCCCCTTTCTTTCTTTTTTATTGTCTTTAGGCACTGAAGCATTCCTTTCAATCACCAGTTCCCTTCTCTGTAGGTCTTGAGCTTTTCTCAAGTGGTTTACTAACTATTCTTTTTTTTTAATATTTATTTTTTTTAGTTGTAGTTGGACACAATACTTTATTTTATTTATTTATTTTTATGTGGTGCTGAGGATCGAACCCAGGGCCTTACATGTGCTAGGCGAGCGCTCTATCGCTGAGCTACAGCCCCAGCCCCATTACTTACTATTCTTGATCAGAGAATTTGGTGGTTATGGCTCTGAGTTGGAGCAGTGTGTCCAGGGAAAGAAGGAGCAATGTGGACACTAGGCTGGCAGTGCTCAGGGAACTTTGGGCTCATTTCTGATCAGGTTGAGAGATCACATCGACGTTTATGGCRGAACAAATGTACATTGAATAGTTTCTTTTACAATAAATCTTCAACACAAGAGATAATTTCAGCAATTACTGTATATGGATACATGATCAGGGAAGGCTTTGTTATTTTGAAATAGTTGTTTCTTCAGTATCGACTATAATGAAGATTTTCTTCCTTAACATTCCAATCAAGCTCTCCTAGAGATCAGTTACAATATTCGTGACTCATTTTTCCATTCACAGTTCCAAATGGGCATCTTGGTGCCAGATGATACTCTTACCTGGTAGATATCAAGTGGAAAATCATTCCATGCTGAAAATACTTACATAGAACATGACCAACTCTGATTCATTTATCTTTTTTATACTCTCCCGAATATTTTCCATCAATCAAAGTTTTGTCACACACAGAAAACATAAAGATTTGTTTGCTAGCACACATGAATTCAGATTATTCAGATAATATTGACATTTTATAAATCATCTTGAATTATATACATTAAACAAAAATGTTTCCCCAAATGGAGTCCTTTTAGAGAAATGAAAACGAGGCAAGAGAGAGCCAGGCTGAGACCAAGTGAGCTCCTGCCGACGCAGGCTGCGCTCCCTCCATCAAAATAGAAAATAAACTCAGGCTGCTCCTGCCATGGGGCCTTCCTCAGGCTATGAAAACATTCTTCATGTCTAACCCTAATTTTTCCATAGCTTGAGGTAACCCCGCTAGCTCAAGCCTTCTCTCTAATAGGAGTTACTCAGTATGTGTCCCTGTCCAAATAAGAGTTACAATCAGCGCTCTATTATTTCAAAAGTGTCTAGACACAGGGGAAGGGAGTAGAAGCTTGCAAGCCTGTAAAATGCCTGTTTGTAATTAGATAAAAACAGCAAAAGAGACAGGAGAGGAAGGTCGGTCCCTACCTTGCTCTTACCTTCGCAACATCCCCGTCAGAATCCTGGAGCTCTTCCCCAAGTTTGCATCTGTTTCCCGAAGCTAGGAGGAGAAGAGCAGGGTTAAAACTCAACTCAACTCCAAATGATTAGATTATTTCTAAAGTACATGGCGAGCAATCATTTTCTATCATTTTATTTCACGATATAAAAGCCAAACAATGAAAAATGTTTATATATACACAACACAAATACATTTATGACACTTATGCAAACTCTGAGAATTCTTAGATTTAGAAAGTGACATGTGAGAAGTGATGTCAGGAGCTCTAAACTGGATACTTGAACTGGATATAAAAGCAAATGTCTCAAAAGCTGACAAAGTTTAACATACATCTGGTAATCAATCTCTAATGTACAAAATGTACAACTCCTAAAAATATAAGTGGAAATAAATGAAGCAAAGAGGGCGGAATCATCAGTATTTTTACTGAAAGRGTGACATATTCCAAAATCCCCCTCAATGACCTTCTTCTCAGCCAGAGGGCTAAATAAAATCCCCCCGTGGGCATTCCAGATGGGGAGAGTCAGCTGCTTTGCCCCGATCTGGCACCCTTCCCTTTCCTCCTAGWAGACGTTATGTTCCTTTCTCCCTAGTCATTTCTACTTATGTCTATGTCATGGTTTTGTCTGTGCATGTCCCAAGGACCTTCTATGTCTTCTCATTTATTAGATATGTAGAAGGATAGTGTCATTTGTACTTACTCTTTCCCGTGCTCGTTGTATCTTTTCTCTGTCATGACTGAGGTTTTCCAACATCTCCTGGCCRATTTGTTCTATTGAAAAGAAAATGAAAGTCAGGAAACACAACTTGGGGTGCATGTGAGAATAACCTTCCGTAGTACCAAACTGAAAACAGAGGTAGAATTAAAGCTGAAGCAATGTCCATTATATATCAGACACACATTTTAACTCAGGTAGTTGAAAAATATAAACAGTATTTGGTAAATTTACCTATCTGCAGTATGATTAGATACAAGTTATAATTCAACCTATAGGAAGGACATAACCAACAYAGCAGTAATGACTTATTGGGGATGCAACTTGCACAAGGCCACTCCAACAGACTACTGGAAAAATTGAGGAGAAACCGGGTACAGTGGTCTATTATTTTGTCATCCGGGAAGTTTGGCCTTTGGATTTTATGGGCGAAGGATAATGTTAATGATTCCGCTCCACCTTCCCTTCATCATGGTACTGCTTTGCCTGTGTAAGTCGATGTGTGTTTAGAACAATTTTGATTTCAATGTATTCTCCTGGCATAGGTGGTCATATGCTCACCAACTGTAGCTTATTGGTAGTGGAACTTTTGCTAGTTTTATACTCACCTAGAGGCAAAGACTTGTTTAATGTGTTATTAGCTACAGTATATTCTTTTTTTAAAAAAATATATTTTTAGTTGTTGATAGACCTTTTTTAGACCTTTTTTATTTATATTTATTTATTTATATGTGGTGATGAGAATCGAACCCAGTGCCTCACACATGACAGGCAAGTGTGCTACTGCTGAGCCACAGCCACAGCACTACAATAGATTCTTGAGTCAAGTCAAAGACAGATGCACTCCTTAACAAGTAATTCAGGAGAGCTTAAGACAGTGTTTTCATCCCAGAACTTCCAAACATTTAGCTAGTACTACAGCTCAGCACATTCATTAAAAGCCACACTGCTAAGTTCCAATGAAATCTTTCCTGGTCACAACGGCACTGCAGTCTCTCCTCTGACTGTAGACCTTTCTATAAGACAGTAGGTGTGTCCTAACCTCACAAATATCCAGCTGCCTTCAATAGATTTTTTTTTTTTCAGAGTCATCCTCTATTAGCTGGGAGCTACCTTATTCTCTAAAAGAAGAATGATGATCTGCCTTTCTTACGATCCTGGCAGCCTGTCTGACTTCCTCATCAGTGTYTCACTCCTGCTCACCTTTTTCCCCTCTGGTATTGTCTCTTTACCACCCCCCCCCAAAAAAAAACAGCACTCATCTCTGGCTTATCAACTTACACAAACATTCACCAAGCACCTATTATAATAATAGCAAGTAATTTAATAAAGTCATCAGGACATCCCCATGGTACTTAATTTGGCTCATGTATTCACAYTGACAATCATAAGAGCAGTGACCAGGCCAACTGAGAGCCTGGCTGTGAACCTGTGCTGTTGGAGCCTAAATCCCAGTGTTGACACTAACCGCATGGCTTTGCCTTAGCTAGCTGTGTCATGTCTCAGTTGCTCAATCTCTAAAATGAGAGAAATACCCACAGCATTATATCAAAGGGTTAATGCAAGGGTTCGATAAGATAATCAACACAGTGACTGGCTCATAACAACAATAAGCATTTATTGAATGTTGATGATATAAAACAATCAATGGCCTGTGGAGACCCACTTCTACTCTAGTTCTGTTGGAACGACAAATTTTATTCATATGATACAATGTTTGTACTTTCTCACAAATTTGATATTATAGTCAAATAAACTAATCTGAGTAAAAATGTGGAAGCTCTAGAGTATCATACCGATGCATGACATTTTAAGATTCAAAGCACTGAACAAATAACCATCAGGTCCCCACCCTGTGCTGGGGTCTGGCCCAAGACAAGACCTAGCGTCTATACTCATGGAACTATGTTGGTAATGAAGACAGCACAGAGGAGTGTTTTAGCTGAGTCTGTATTTCATGGCATATCAGAAAAAGACAGTTTAATACTTTCATGACAGAAAATCCAACTAATAATGGTTACATACATAATCATAAATATATTTTTGACACCACACAAACTCTGAAAATTCTTTCACAGTATATATAGTACATTCCCAGTAAAGTACCTTCTCAGATTTTTTTTCTTTTTAGCTCTTTAGTATTAACTTCATACAAATTTAAGAAGATAAAGGAAATAAGAGTTGAACTTTTTTCTTTTTTTTTTACAATAAAAACTACAAATTTCAAATTTGTCATGCTGTTTTTTAAAAAATATTTATTTTTTACTTGTAGTTGGACATAATACTTTTATTTTATTTTACTTATTTTTATGCGATGCTGAGAATAGAACCCAGAACGTCGCATGTGCTAGGCAAGCACTCTACCACTGAGCCACAACCCCAGCCCTTGTCATGATGTTTTTATCGCTACATTGAATTCCTTTAATCAACTTAATATAGCATTTTTAATTACTTTTTAACTTAAAATTTCCAATATCTATGAGCATCATCAATCTTGTCATTATTTCAGCAAGATACCGCCTCTTATCAGGATTGATATAATAATATGTAATTGCAAAGAAATAGAAGACAGATTATTACTATTGTGTCTGTGGCCAGTGTAATGTCCCAAGTAAGTATTCAAGGAAAGAATTAACAAATGAAGTCTATGGAAGGTTTGCAGCCTCTTCCTGCTCTCAGTCCATGAGCTAGAGAAGGGATACTGGAAAGTAGATAATAGAGCCACGATTCTATCAGACTTGCTGGGGAAAAACCCCTAACTGGATCTGCAGTCTAGTGAAGAAATCAATGGAAAAAGAGGATGGCGCTGGAGAAGATAATGCTAAGTGAAGTTAGCCAATCCCCAAAAAACAAATGCCTAATGTTTTCTCTGATATAAGGAGGCTGACTCATAGTGGGGTAGGGAGGGGGAGCATGGGAGGAATAGATGAACTCTAGATAGGGA